GCAAGCGCGCGCCTTGACTATAGAGTTTGCATATATTTTCATGCATATGACATATATTCGACCAATCACATCACGAATAGATTGGTTTCACATACATTTCATCTCAATTTTATTATGGGAATCACATCACGAATAAATTGGTTTCACATACATGTCATCTCAATTTTATTATGGGATACCTTAATTGGAAAAATTTTTTCTTAACGGGATTGAAATTTCATATAAACAAATTCTTGCACGAAAACTGGCATTTCTTATTGCATTGACTCTTAGAACCAATGTATAATCTTTAGTAGGTATTTTAATCTTTATGACAACTATATATGATATCACAATATTTAAAATTTCAAACAAACAAATTTTTAATTTTATCACCCCCTAATTTATCCTGCATTGACTCTCAGAATCAATGTATGATCTTTAGTATGTATCCTAATCTTGACGACAACTATTTATTATATCTCAATAGAATTTCAAACAAACGAATCTTTTTATTAGTCCAAATTTTATCTTGCATTGACGCTCAAAATCAATGTATCTTTTTCAATTAATGTTTTAATGAGTAGTAAATGTTCATGATATCACGTTAAAATTTCAAAGAAACAAATCTTCGCATCAGTCCGAATTTTATCGTGCATTGTCGCTCAAAATCAATGTATCATTTTTAATTAACATTTGAATTAGTAATAAATGTTCATGATATAACGTTAAAATTTCAAGTGTACAAATCTTTTTCCGAAAACTATCCTCACTTATTGTATAGACTTTTATTATTAAAATCAATAGTCAATAACTCGGAACTTACTCGTCAAATTTTGATGATATTTTGATACGTTGTACTTTAAACTAATCATAACAAAATATTAACAACAATATTAATTTATTATCATTATTTTAATTAATACTGATAAAACCTTGAATTAAACAAAAATACTTACATTAAGTCAGTACTAACATCGCTGTCATGTCTTGAAGAGCCTTTTCTCCTTGATTCAAAAATAGCAACTGCCGATAGCGGATCTTCTTTATTTTGCAACTCACGACTTGATTTGACATAAATATACGCAGTAATTGCCAATGGCGCAACATACCTGGAATAAAATATTATAGTTAGATCTTAATTAACATTCATCGATCAAAGAGTTATCGAAATTTTTTAATACATATTTTAATTACTCATTAAACAAACAATTCAAAATAACAGATGACAGATATGCGAATTAAAAAATACAATTTAATTATTGTATGCAGTAATTCCGCCCATTGTTTATCAGTTATTATTCGCCGATCGAGCTCTATAATCATATGAATATTAATTGACAATTAAACAGCGAAACACGGATTGTATTTTTCATTTCCAATCGCAAGTATTTAAATAAATTATCATTTAATCTATAAAATTCCCAATTTTTAGGTCAATTTCATTAGAAATTTAGTTGTAGTCGGTTTTATGTCGTAATTTAGAGAAAATTTATTTCAAATCATTTCAAATTAGATTTCTTAATCAGGGATATCAGCAGGATTGCGCCCACAGTTCTCACGTGATCTTTATGAAATTTTGTGGGGTCATTCTGTGGATCAATACTAAGATCAAGTTCGAAGATAAGCAAAATCAGCCTGTTAGTTTACGAGTTAAGGGGGAGTTAAGGGGAACACTACTGTGACGATCGAAAAAAAGAAGTGATTTTCGGGAATTTTTTTAACAGGGAAAATAAAAGAATTCGGGAATCGGGTTTTTTTTTTATTTTATTAAGGGTACCTTAAAGATTATTACCTTAAATTTTTATTAAAAAATATTTAATTATTACAAAGTTATTAACAATCTCGTCGAGCACTGGAGAAAATTCCCCCCCCCCCCCACGGTCGGTTCGATAACTCAAAAACAGATAATCTGAAAATAAAAATCCAAATTGCTTTTTAATTAGTAAGGATGTAGTTATCGTCGCACGTACGGAATTAAAAAAATTTTTATTTTAAAGATTTTTTTAGCCGGATTAAAACAAAAAAAACAGTAAGGATAGTGAGAAAATTTTCAATCAGTCGCCATTTTTATTTTTAAATTAAAATTTTCAAAATTCCGTATGTGCGACGATAACTACATCCTTACTGATTAAAAAGCAATTTGGATTTTTATTTTCAGATGATCCGGTTTTGAGTTATCGAACCGACCATGAAGGGGGAAATTTTTTCTAGTGCTCTACGAGATTGTTAATAACCTTGTATAATAATTAAATATTTTTTAATAAAAATTTAGGGTAATAATCTTTAATGTACCCTTAATGAAATAAAAAAAATCCGATCCCCAAATTTTTTTATTTTCCCTGTCAAAAAAATTCCCGAAAATAACCTCTTTTTTTCGATCGTCATAGTGGTGTTCCCATTAAGGGTGTTCGAAAATTTTTTTTATTTTAAAAAAATTTTGAATTTCGTTTATTTTATGGAAATAATTTTCCAGACGTAAAATATAGATAAAGCCCTTCTTTAAATAATTTTTAAGCCGTAAAAGTTAGCTTAAATCTATTACATTTATTCAAAAGTTCACATGATTATCTGTAATTTAAGCTATTGTACGTCGACTTTTGATCCTTTTTTCAATTTATTTCGTAATTAAGAAAGTTAAAAAAAAATTAAGAAATAATGAATTTTTAGCTTTTATCATCAAACGACTTTCATCTGTTACAAATCCTATTTTTTAGGTAGATGTTTTTGAATATCTATTTATTGCAGTCGGTCTCATATCGTTATTTGCAAAAATATAATAATAAATAAATTTTAGGACATTATTGCCTTTTAATAGCATGTTTTTTTCAATATTTAAACAAGAAATCTATCTATCCGTGTCGGGTGTGGCCGAATGGCGCTTTTTATTGTAGAATACGCTGAGCGTGAAAGTTTGAGATGGCAAACTAATCCTTAAAAATATTAGCCATCTTAGTGCTTAAACCTAAAATTCAGGTTGCATGTCATTGTCAACACATTGAACAATTAGTACATAACAATATGTTTCTGTTCGCACACATCCAACAGTCAAAATATGGCTGCTAAAATTAAGGTCTGAAACCGCGATTTAAAAAAAATTTTATAATATCGCATAATTTAAAACTAAAGTCTTTTTAAAGGGTTTTTTCATGAAAATTTCATACTTATGGAATATTAAAGAAGATAATTACGTCAATAAAAATAAACCCCGCATGTACTGCTGAATATCGTCAACGAGATTCCCGAGACAAATCCCCAGGCCGTCAAAGTGCCCTTTTTTGAAGCTCTGCAACATAATAATATTATTATTAAGCATACATAAGTAATGTTACTGAGAAGTTATTCTAAAAGATTCAGGAGCGACTTAAGGAAAAAAATCTTTGACATTAGTCTGCATTATATTCTGCATAAGAAAACAACATTCGTATTCTTATTTCTGTTTTTCTGTATTATATCCGAGGTACAGTGAATAATAATAAAATAATATAAATGGAAGCAGCTTACCGAAAGATCAAGGTAAGTAGTATAAATTGGAAACGGCAGCACAATGCATATTGCGAAGAACCATGAACCGAGAGCACACACAAACGCTGGTATTCTTGGTTTTCCAGGATCGCTTAATAAACGGTATCGATCCCCGGCAATCAGTAAATATGTCATCATCGATACGTGGAATGGAATGTCCTGAAACGAGTCAAATAGCTTCGTTTAATATTTGCTTTAGCTACGTCAATATTGTTACACGATTGTTTTGGTAATACTTTGTAAATTCAGTTTTATTTGTATTGGAATAATAAGTGTGGTTTTCGAGTAAAAAAATATTAAAATTTCGTGAAAATCGATTGTGTAGATTCTTAGATGTTGGCAAAAACGGGTTGCATTGATTTTTAGTGTCAATGCAGTGCAAAATAGATTTTTTATATAGACAAAAAGGGCTTTTTACATGGAAAAATTACTGCATTGTTGCTAATTAGTATTATTGATTGAGAAATTGATAAAAAATGTATTGATTTTGAGTGTCAATGCAGCATAGAATTGTCATTTTTTAATTAAATACTTTTAAAATTTACATTTCAGCGGGAAATAACAAACTTGGAATTTTTTTTGGAGATTGTGATTAAATGTGCATTGATTTTGAGTGTCAATACAGCTTAAAATTTATTTTATATTAAAATACTCGTCCAATTGAAATTTCAGCGGACAATAACAAACTTAGGGTTGTTTTTGGAGATATTGATTAACAAGGCATTGATTTTAACTGTCAATGCAGTGCAAAATGGCATTTTCATTGAGAAAACGAGACTTTTTATATGAAAAGTTTATCACAATGTTGCTAATTAGTATTGATTGAGAAATTGATAAAACTGTATTGATTCTGAGTGTCAATACAGCCTAAATATGCCATTTTTATTTAAATACTCTTTTAATTGAAATTTCAGCGAGAAATAACAAAAGTAGGGTTTTTTTCTTAAGATATTTATGGACAATACATTGATTTTAAGTGTCAATGCAGTGCAAATTTCTATTTTTATATAAAGATTTTTCCAGTTAAAATTTTAGCACGATATAGCTAACAAATATTGCTGATTAAGATAGTCACTTACTATTACATTGATTTTGAGTGTCAATGCAAGATACAAATTGTAGATTATGATAAAAAAAAGGCCAATTACATTGAAATTGTACCGCAATGCTACTTATTAGTATTCCAGATTGAAGTATTGCCTAAAAATACATCGATTTCGAGCGTCAACGAATTAAAAAAAGTTATTTTTCATATAAATTCTCTTCAAATTAAAACTTGAATGAAAAATAATGAATAAATATTACCAATGCAAATGTTTACTAAGCATTACATTGATTTTGAGCATGAATGCGGAGCAAACGGTCTGTTAGACTATCATGGATAATTATTGTTAGTTTTTTATACATTCTATTTTCATGTAGTAAATATGATGGATGTAATATTTATTTGTTATCTTGAGAGCTCGACATAAAATGTGTTATCTCTCGCACAACGTATGTAGGGAGGCAGAATAGATGGAAGATGAATGAATACATAGATAAACAGATGAATAGACACATCTGATCGAAAGTGAATACTCCAGAGAATGTGCTTCCGCTTGAATACTATCTCCCGGAAATGAACGTTTCCCGATTATTATCGTTACAAAGGTTGGTGTTGACATGATGGAAATTAAATTTTCACTTCGGTTGTTTACGATTCATATGTGTTAACATAATTTTGTAATTGTTAAAATTTAATAATGGGTAGTTGTCTATCATCATTTCCGGATGAAAATTCCGATTTAAAGTGATTTTGTACGGTTTTTGATATAAAGTGATTGCATTTTGACGCTCAAAATCAACACACTATTCGTAATAAAGTTTTAGACACTAATTTATTAATAATACTCCATTAAAATTTTGATGAGAAGATTCTACGATGAATTATGACACCTTTGAATTACTTTGACACTCAAAATGAAGCACATAATATTTAGACTATTGTTTATATTCATTTTAGTAATCATTTTTCATAATATTGAGTTGAAAATTCAATAATAAATTTTTTTATGCAGAAGCTGGAAACCATTGCAATGCAGATACTAGTTTTACTCTCGTTTTTATCCTAGCGGTTTTATAAATGCCGAAAAAATGTCGCAGTTATACAGTATTAATGTCGTATTTTTTTAGCATTTTTTCGGTTGTTTTGGTCAGTTTTTTCATTTAAATATTACGGAACATTTACCATAAAAATGCGAAATATTTACGCTAAAAATGCGGCATATTTTTGGTAATAATGCGGTAAAATGACTGTATTAAAACCATATTTAAAAAATGCTGTAAAATTAAATAAAGCTCAGACTGGGATTCGAATTCAGAACATCCCGAGGACAAGTCGGCTACTCTACCATTTGAGCTACCCGGTCTGTACCATATTTTTTTTTGCTTATTCTATATACATTAAGCCATACCGTCCATCTTACGATAAGCATATTTAAAATTAAATAATATAGTTATATATGTGAAACAATGTCTAACTTTTCGATTTTAGAAAATTTGCAATTTTCTAAGTGAGAAATTAAAAATTAAAATTGAAATTAGAATATATTTACTTAACATATGTATTCTTTTATATTCATTACCGCTGAATACCTAATTAAAAAATAATATTCTACATAGTATTTATTCAAAAACAGTATTTGTTTTTGCAAAGTAGCGATGGAGAATAAAAAGCAAAATTGGAAATTTTTCATATTATTCATTTCTAACATAGAAGTGAACTAAAAATAGAACCAAATTTTTAATAATTTTCCATTATGTCAGAAAATATTCGGCAAAATTACTGTATTATTACGGTAATTATTTGGAATTTTTTGGGTAAAATTTGGGCATTAATGCGGTAATTGTATAGTATATTTTTAGTAACTGTACAGCATAAGTGCGGTATATATACTGGATATTTACAGTATAAAAACTGGTCAAAACAACTATAGTTTAACCGCATTATTACGGCATGAGCATAAATGCCGAAAAATTACGGTATTTTTACGGCATTTTTAAAACCGCGAGGGTATCTTTTATAGTCATATTTCTCAATAATATGAAGTTAAAAGTTCCATATCTAAAATTTCTTTCAATAAAAACTGACTTTTTTGAATTACATTGACAGCCGAAATCAATGTAATCTTTTTTTTGTCTATATCTCAGGATGCACTTGTTCGATTCTTATGGAATTTCAATATGTTCTTATTATTGACTAATAGTAAAGATATATGATAAAATATAAAATAATAATAATAATAATAATAATAATAATAATAATAATAATTGTAATAAATTAATTTATTGTTATCATTACAAATATACTGCCAACTTAATTATCCGAGTCCATCATAGAAATTAAAAAAAAGGCCATTTGGCACCAGCCAAGATGGAAGGTAGATTTCATGTAATCCATGATTTTAATTACGATATTATGAATAATTATTATTCCTCAAGTTTATCAGAAAAGTAAATCGGCTGCCAAATTTTAAAATACAGTGATTTATTAGATTTTCGAAAATTTCAAATGGCTGCCATTTCTAAACTATTTGAGGGATTTAGCTCATTTTTGAACTCATCCAAGCTAATTTTATATAGAATAAGTCTACCAAATTTCATAAAGATTCATTAAGAATTCTGGGAGTAATCGCGTCCACAAGTCGCGTTGTGTTGTGTGCTTGTCTGAAACTGATTCAGATGACATTCAGCTTTTTAAACTTTTGGAGTAATTGATGAAAAGTAAATTTGTTATAGGTTAAATTAAAGAGAATTTCATAAGCTTTGAAACGAAATGCAGAAAAATGATCTATCATTTCTCAATAAAAAGTTATTCCCTAGTAAAGTCACCAAACATGTGAGTTTTTAGATTTTCGAAAATTTTAAACGGCTGCCATTTCTAAACTATTTGATGGATTCAGCTCATTTTTAAACTCATCCAAGCTAATTGTCTATAGAATAAGTCTACCAAGTTTCATAAAGATTCATTAAGAATTGTGGGAGTTATCGTGTCCACAAGCTGTGCGTTATATTACATAAATATATATATACATATATATATATATACATAAACTTCCAAACCAACGTCATTTTTAAGCCTTACTCGACTAAATAATTGATATAGTAACGAAAGTCTGTGTGAATTTTGACACAAGGGCCAATGCAATAGATAGATTTTATGAAATCTACCTAAAAAAATCTAAAACGGTTGTAATTAAATGAAATCAACATTGTCCGTGTTTATCTTGCTTTCGCGCTCGCTTAGTCGGAAAATCAAGTGGAAAAGCGTTTGTAGGGAACGTCAAAGGTCGTTTTTAATGAAAACTTGAAATTTTTTTTTTCTTATTCATTAATAGATGATGAAGCGTGAACGACTGCTTTGTACCGTTTCCAGTTCTCATTTTTAAGAATTATTTCTCAACCGTTGAAAGTTTTTAATTGCTAACATTGATTCAACAAAGCTAATTAGCCCAATAATTCTTTCTACAAAAAAAAAAATCGAACTTTTGTTAACAAAATGCGGACTTTTCTAGCTTTTAATGTTAAATACGGGTGCTATCAGCTGATCCGGTTGCTCGTCGCCATCTTGCTTCTGATAGGGCCTTTCGTTATTTAAAAAAAAGCGCGAGTTTTTTTAATTTGAATTTATGAATTCGCGGAAAAATTAATTTCAAAAAAATGTTTTTTTTTTGTAATTAAATTATTTTAAATTGTGTGTCAAATTTTAAATTAAAAATTTCTTTCAATTGGAAATAATCTATTTAAATACTGGGTTTGTTTATATTCAATGAAATAAATAAATGTGTGGGTGAGTGTGTGTTATATAAAAGAGGAAATAATTGAGCATTAACGGGGTGAAATGTCAAATTGACGTCCTGTTGCGAAGTAAAAACATAATATTGAATTATTGTCATATAGTTATATATTTAGTGTGGTAAAATTCAATTAATCATGATAAAGTTTATTTTTAGTTTATGTAACCTTAATTTACTGGGTATAAATATGTCGAATAAAATTTTGTTAATCATCGTTGTAGAGAAAAAAAAATTGAAGATTGATTGACGATAATTATTAGGGGAGAATGAAAACTTCGTGTGACGCCAACTGTACTGAATTATTTATATAATTTTATTGTCGGTCTACACTAAGAAAAAATTTTTGAAATTTATTTTGAAAGAGGTCCTGTTGTTCTTTTTAATAAAATTTTGTGATGAATACTTGTAATTAATTAATGCATAAGGTATTAACTATTATTTCCACCCCTTTCAGTAATAATTTTCAATAATATTAACTTAAAATTTAAAATAAGGGGTTCTTCATCCAAAAAATTATGTTATAACTACATTGACGCTCAAAATCAATGCACCCCTTGTAGTAAATTCTCAATCATTAATTTATAAATAATAATTACGTTAAAATTTGAATAAAAAGCGTCTCTCTACTATTTATGACGCATTTGCATTGCATTGACGCTCAAAATCAATGCATTTATTATTTAGAATATTATTTTCCTCTTTTCTAATAACAGTTTTAGTGACATTAAGGTAGTACCTCCACGAAAAGCATATTTCAAGAAACTTATTGAATTTTTTTTATCGAAAGATAAATATATTAATAATTCACCACCAAAATTTCAGATCAATTTACCACACCGTTTTTGAGTAATTAATTTTCAAAATTGCATCTTTTACACGTAGTAGTATAGGGAGATGGTAAAGTTAGTATGAAATCTTTCGTA